TCTTGGACTGCAAGAAGGCGTTTGACAAAGTACCACACAAGAGATTAGTGCAAAAACTGGAGGACCAAGCAGGGATAACAGGGAAGGCACTACAATGGATCAGGGAATATTTGTCAGGAAGACAGCAGCGAGTAATGGTACGTGGCGAGGTGTCAGAGTGGGCACCTGTGACCAGCGGGGTCCCACAGGGGTCAGTCCTAGGACCAGTGCTGTTTCTGGGATTTGTGAACGACATGACAGAAGGAATAAACTCTGAGGTGTCACTGTTTGCAGATGACGTGAAGTTGATGAGAAGAATTCATTCGATCGAAGACCAGGCAGAACTACAAACGGATCTGGACAGGCTGCAGACCTGGTCGAGCAATTGGCTCCTGGAGTTCAATCCCACCAAGTGCAAAGTCATGAAGATTGGGGGAAGGGCAAAGAAGACTGCAGACGGAGTACAATCTAGGGGGCCAGAGACTACAAACCTCACTCAAGGAAAAAGATCTTGGGGTGAGTATAACACCAAGAACATCTCCTGAAGCGCACATCAACCAAATAACTGCTGCAGCATATGGGCGCCTGGCAAACCTCAGAACAGCATTCCGACATCTTAATAAGGAGTCGTTCAGGACCCTGTACACCGTGTACGTTAGGCCCATATTGGAGTATGCGGCACCTGTTTGGAACCCACACCTAGCCAAGCATGTAAAGAAACTAGAGAAAGTGCAAAGGTTTGCCACAAGACTAGTCCCAGAGCTAAGAGGTATGTCCTACAAGGAGAGGTTAAGGGAAATCAACCTGACGACACTGGAGAACAGGAGAGATAGGGGGGATATGATAACGACTTACAAAATACTGAGAGGAATTGACAAGGTGGACAAAGACAGGATGTTCCAGAGACTGGACACAGCAACATGGGGACACAGTTGGAAGCTGAAGACACAGATGAATCACAGGGATGTTAGGAAGTATTTCTTAGCCACAGAGTAGTCAGGAAGTGGAATAGTTTGGGAAGAGATGTAGTGGAGGCAGGATCCATACATTGCTTTAAGCAGAGGTACGATAAAGCTCATGGTTCAGGGAGACTGACCTAGTGGCGACTAGTGAAGAGGCGGGGCCAGGAGCTTGGACTCGACCCCTGCAACCTCAACTAGGTGAGTACAACTAGGTGAGTACACATACACACACACACACATGCACACATATGCAATACATACACACACACATATGCAATACACACAATACACACATATGCAACACACACTTATCAATTGACAATACCTTGAGCAGCTCCTCATTTCCTGAAGCAAATATTCTTTCACTTGCCATGTATTGTACACCTATATACAGACACATCTACAGTATTATTACATCTGTCAATTTTTTACACTAATGAATTTAGAGGCCAAGAGCTGTCTTCCTACCTCAACTCATATCAAAGCCTAGCCCTTTCTAAGGTACACTACTACCCCCTTCCTTTCCAAAGATGTTACCCACATCAGTCAGTTAACATCTATGTTTAATCGGGCAAAAAAAAAAAAAAAAAAAAAATGCTTTTTAAATATTTTTTCTTATTATATTGTTTATTACAAAATCATTTTGATAATCAACTGCCCTAATGTTTGAGCAAAAACCCTGACATAAAATATGTTTTATAAAAACTAATATTCAAGGTGACTTAATGGACCATAAATGAAATTTTCCTCAGAGTCAGGGGGGAAAAAGAGGTTGGGGGAAAAAAAAGGTTGGGAAAAAAAAAGTCCTTATTTTCTATGACGCTGATCTTACCGACATTAACTGACATCACAATCAGTATATCTGAAGGTATTTTTAGTACAGGTCGACCATTACTAATCCAGCATCATCAGGACTTGTAGGGTGCTGGATTAGTGACTTTGCCGGATTACAGAGTGGTTAGGTTAGAATACACTTTACCCAACAGCAATATTTACGCATCATCGATTTCACCTAATTTACGCCCAATTTTTGGCCCATTCCATTGTTCCAATCTACCAAACTCATAGCTATTTTGCTAGTATTCCTTCTATTATGTCAACTGAGTACAAGAAACTGCCCATTCACCTATTTCCACTATCCAATGAAGTGGTGAGAAATTGGCAATCTGACCAGTTTCACACAAATTTCAAGATGCCAATTTCAAAACAGGGTTCAAAATAAACAATGCAGACATTTCCCACACTAAAATAACATTTTTCTCTGTTCATTAGTCATGTCTCCAGGCCCCTCTTATATTATTCTTGCTTTCTATTTTGAATTGTTATTCACACAAAAAAATAGAAAATTTACTGTTATGCAGACTACTGCATTATTGTAATAATTGTATAAATAATGTCAATTCATTCATGACTGCATATTAGACTGGGCCAGTTGGACACATATAGGACAGTGATGTCATTTGTTTACTCTGGAACATCAGTAAAAATCAAATATTTCCGCTATTTTGAGCTCAATTTCAAGGTACTTCTCGTTGTGAAACCAATCAAAATCATGTCTATTTCTGTAATATATCTTCCATTCTATCAAATGAGACTAAAAAAATGAGAATACAACCATAAAAATCATACGAAAATACACCACTGAGGGGCAGCTAATGGCTGAGAAGTGAACTCTGTTACTTATTGTTTGATTTCTTTCATTTTTGGTGTACGCTAGGAAGCATCTTTCCATCATACATTGCCCAAGTTTCAATAAGATAGTCCAACAAACAACTGAGAAAAAAAAAATTACCAAAAATAATATATGGCAAGCCCAAGCCAGGTAATTTATCCTGTCGTCTTTCTTAAAAAAATATAGTATGGTTTTGACATTTAGCAAAATATCTGCCTTTTACCATCATACAAATAAAAAACAAACTGTGATATTTCAAAAAAGCTTCACCAGTTTGTACAACAATTATTCTATTATGTTGTCTGTGAAATTTATTGCATTCCTATCATTATTAATGCCACTATGCTAAGATATAAATGAATAACTTCTGAGATAATCATCAAAAACAAGCAAGCACCGAAAAAAAAAAAATTGAGAAAATAGCTTTCTTGTTTCAGCTTTATGGTACATTATGAGTGTATATCACAGTTAGCCCTGTACTGCACTACATTTTCTCTAATATAAGCCCCCAAGACAGGAATAGCAGGACGGTACTCTTATCCCATATCCTCTAGTGGTAACTTCATGCCTCCGTCGGATCGCTTGGTATTATGCCAAATATTATTCATTCTGGAGTATTTGCCATGTTTTTATGGTATTTATGTTGTTTATTATGTCATGTTAGATCAACTGTGATAGGTAAATAAACCACAGTGTTGATATTAGCGTAATAGTAAAGCATATTCCCCCGCATCACAAGACTCAAGAATTCCTGCTGACGTAAGCAAAGACTTCCAGCAGGCGTGCATGAGCGTGTTCGATAGGAGTGAATGGAGACGAATGGTATTTGAACCTGACAATCTGTTGGAGTGTGAGCAGGGTAATATTTAGTGAAGGGATTCAGGGAAACCGGTTATTTTTATATAGCCAGACTTGAGTCCTGGAAATGGGAAGTACAATGCCTGCACACTAAAGGAGGGGTTCGGAATATTAGCAGTTTGGAGGGATATGTTGTGTATCTTTATACGTATATGCTTCTAAACTGTTGTTCTGAGCACCTCTGCAAAAACAGTGATTATGTGTGAGTGAGGTGAAAGTGTTGAATGATGATGAAATTATTTTCTTTTTGGGGATTTTCTTTCTTTTTGGATCACCTGCCTCGGTGGGAGACAGCCGACTTGTAAAAAAAAAGAAACAGTAAGCGAATGTTCACAGATGGTTCCTGATTGGCTCTCAGATTCCATAATAGCTCCACTCACTCTGTTATGATGCCAAACTGTAAATTATTATATTAGAAAGAATAATAAAGAAATAAATGAAAAAAAGAATTGGAAAATTGACTTGTGAGCATGCATGCTACTGGTGGCGGCATCAATATATATGTTATAAATGACTACAATTCCTTGTAGGAATATAATACAACAATGATTCTTATACCAGAGTGTTGCCAAAGTATTAAGCTATTTTTCTATACGAACCACTCAATTTTAGTATTTTTTTTTTTATTTTTTTTATTTCACGCGCTGCATGTGTTAGCTGCCATTAAGTCGCTGTTTTACACCACGGTCGCAGTTTTTTCTCATTATGCACTACATGCTGCAGTGCAGTGCAGTCACAGCTTATCTGAGTGAACTGAGCTCATGGCAAGCGACAATGGCTTCAAAGTCACCTTATCTTTTATGGACAATGTACGGTGTATGTGCTTTACACAATAAGAAGCATTTCTTTTATTTGTTGGAACCATGGCCAGGGCTAAAAGTAAGCAGGTTATAACAAATGGAGAAAAAGAAATTGGAATGACTTATGCAGCAAGTAGCGTCACCAAACAGTAGCAGCAGGTTGGTGTGGTGACTCTGGAAATTTGAAATTATACTAGCTGAAATTAGTGTGGATTACTAATGGAACCAGATTACTGATTGCCGGATTAGTGATGGCCGACCTGTACTATATGTAAGTTGTGTACTGAAAAAGTTGAGCACACTGCTCCAAAAGTTTTTGTCCTTAATTTTTACATATTTTCCAAGGTTTATGTTACTAATTCAATGAAGTTATTATAAAGCAATTTTCACTTCTCATCTACAGACAGTAAACAGGGTTACACATTCTCAAAACCTGCAGGTAAATATATATCTACTTACTTCTAGATGGACAGGGGTAATAGATGTAAGGAGACTTGCCAAACATCTACTCACCAGGATTGAACCTGGGTCCTTTGGTTGGGAGTTGAATGTGCTACCACTGAGTTATAAGCTTAAACTGAAAGACTCAAAAGTCTCCAAAACTTTCACATTACCAGTGATGCACTATACTAGATAACATATACTAACACTTGGGAATTTTACCATTAGTACTGACAAACCTGGGCTTCAACTCTAGCATGCAACACCAGTAATTGTTTTATAATTTACCTTGGTGGTGATGGTATATTTCCTTGGTAAAAATTTTTCTGGTATTTTATTCATGGGTAAAGAAAATTTGTGCAAATGCCGGTTGTGGAGTCCAATCAACTCATGACGATACAAGTAGGGGCCCTTGCCTGTAAAGTAATAAATATATAAATGATTTACTTTTTAACAATAATAAAGAAAATAATATACTATACTTGAAGCGTATTTTTATTTTAATTAAATATTTAAATATGACAGTTACATTACAGTTAAAATAGACACAGATATAATAACAATACCACACCATGTCCTTAAAATTGTAATTCTAATACAGACTTAATTATTCTTAGAAAGCTGTAACAGAATCCACAGAGACCACACAAGGAACAAATACCTCTCTGGTACTCAGGTGTTCAGTGCAATTTACATAAAAACTATGCAATTAAAGAGGATCAAAAAAAAAGAACGAATAAATTAAAGACTGTACAATATTCAGATAAAAGAAAAGCGAGTATGTTGATAGTGATAGAAACATAATAACACTAAGAAATAACTCCCTCAAAGTGCTCCTTTGTCTTTAGTAAACACAAGGGAAAGGTTATCATTGACTGAACACAAAAGTATCTGTCCCTTTTTTTTTTTTTTTGGAGGGGGGGGGGAATTGGGGGCATGACTCGTCCCTATTTACATATTGGATTGTAAGATTAACAAGAGATCTATGTAGTTCTTGGAAATCTAAAAGTGTGAGTGTGTTTGTGTTTGACAGTAGCCAGTAGACAGGATCCTGCTCCACTACTGACCCTCTTACTTAGTCTGGGTACATGAATTTGTCATGATTTTTGTTAACTTTGTCTTGTTATGACACTTTTTTTTTTTCTAGCAAACAGAAACAGAAACTGACAATTTTAGATTTCCAAGAGCTACATAGATCTCTTGTTAACCCTTTGACTGTCGCGGCCGTATATATACGTCTTACGAGGTACCGTGTTTGACGTATATATACTCTCAAATTCTAGCGGCTTCAAATCAAGAAGGAGAAAGTTGGTAGGCCCACATGTGAGAGAATGGGTCTGTGTGGTCAGTGTGCACCACATAAAAAAAATCCTGGAGCACGCAGTGCATAATGAGAAAAAAAAAAATGCCGACCATTTTTTTAATTTAAAAAATGCCGACTTTGTGGTCTATTTTCGTATAGTATTTATGGTTGTATTCTCGTTTTCTTGGTCTCATTTGATAGAATGGAAAACATATTATAGAAAAAGAGATGATTTTGATTGATTTTACTATAAAAAAACCTGGAAATGGAGCTCAAATTAGGGGAAATGTTAGATTTTTTACCCAATGTTCAAAAGTAAACTAATGACATCATTGTCCAATAAATGTCCAACTAGCCATTCTAATATGCAGTCATGAATGGGTTGATGTTATTTATACAATTATTACAGCATTGGAGTAGTCTGCATAATAGTAAATTTTCTATTTTTTGTTTGAATAAAAATTCAAAATAGAAAGCAAGAGTAATATCAGAGGGGCTTGGAGACATGACTGATGAACAAAGAAAATGTTATTTTAGAGCCAAGAATGTCTGCATTGTTCATTCTGGACCTTATTTTGAAATTGTCATATTTTTTAATTTTCATGAAATTGGCCAAATTGCAAATTTCTGACCACTTTATTGGGTAGTTGAAATTGGTAAATGGGCAGTTTCTTGTACTCAATTGATAGAAAAAATGGAGTTCTAAAGAAATAGCTATGAGTTTGGTCGACTGAAACAAAGGAATTAGCCGAAAATAGGGCTCAAAGTGAGCGAAATCGCCGATTTGTAAATATCGCCAAGGTCGCTAACTTCGCGAGAGCGTAATTCCGTCAGTTTTCCATCAAATTTCGTTTTTTTGGTGTCATTAGAATCGGGAAAAGATTCTCTATCATTTCATGAGAAAAATTTATTTTTTTTTTGAAATTTTGCAACACCAGGAGACACCTCAGGATTGGGGATTGCGACAGTCAAGGGGTTAATCTTACAATCCAATATGTAAATAGGGACAAGTCATGCCCCCAATTTCCAAAATGGGAGAACCACTGAAGTTCCACAATACCATCAAACCAAATACAATTACAGAAATGTAAGAGGAATACAAAAAAAAAAAAAAAATTTTTTTTTAGAGTTTTTCAGTATGAGAGAATATACTCATTTGAATTCTCCAACTGGGCAGGGTTGAAAAAATAAATCACATGAGGGAAGGACAGAAAGGAAGATGAATGGAGGGACGGAAGGAAAGATTGCCAATAAGGGATACCAAAACATTACAACATTCCTTGTTTTTATGTGCATGTTTTAGCACTGCATTGTTGAATGCAGTATTACTCAAAGTTTACATTAATACTAAGTTATACTAATACATCAATGCATTCTTCCAATGAAATCCTATAGTGGTTAAATTCTTCTAGTGAGTCAGTATGGATGTGCCCAGGACACAACAAATGACCAGGGTGGCACAAGGACAGATCATGTCAAATTCCTGGGGTGGCACAATCTTATTCTGAGACTGACTGCATTTTGTAAAGAAAATGCAGTGTTAAAGATATGGAGGTTACAAGTACCATACCATAACAAAGTTGAAAATGAACAGCAAGAATTATAAAATGGCTTAAAGTACTGTATGTTCATGCTTTACACATACTGTATATAGGTAGTAATACTGGTTTACCTAAAGAGTCAGGGCACATGGAATTTTTTCTGCAATTATTTATACTGGGAAAATCACATGGGTCTTTGGAGGTCACTACAACATGTTTGAAATGAAAATAAGGATTCAAAAAGATATAGCATAAGAGAAACCACTTACAACAGCAGATGGGGATAATGAATACTACTACTTAGCACTCAATGGTCTTGTTTAACTCTCCCTAATGCTTCTTATTCAGTCTCACCATGATAAAAACGACCAAAGAAAAAAGGAATTGTTTATTTGTATAAACAATTAAATAAAACATAAGTGTTATGCTTTATTCTGAGTGTTAACCTACCTGATATTGTCATGAGGACATCTTTAATTACAAACATCCATGTGGTTCTGGTGGGTAATAACTGCTCCATGGCAGCCTCATGTAACTCATTAAGGTTGAGGGTGTATATTCCCTCTTCTGCTCCTATAAGAATATGTTGGTCACGAGTGTCTGGATGGATCCAAGAAGCTGTACAGTGTATGTGTAGTGGGCACCCATTGAAAACCTGTAAAATTTAATTTCATAATCAATATATTATGGAACTTTTTCCAGTAAGATATTCTTAGTTCCTTAGGGAGAACCTCATATGCATTTGGAGAACATTAAATTAAAAAAATAAAAGCTTATGAAAGTGTGAACTACTAAAATTTAAAACATCGAACATATTACCTTAGAGAAGCAAGCACCCATATGGACCTTTGGTGTAGGTGGAAGGCCATTCGACTGTGGTCTTGGGGGAGTATTATGTCGACGTTTATCTTTTCTACGAGGAGGAATAGGGGGTGTCCCACTGCCATCATCCTCTCCACCACTACCTACTCCCTGTCCATTTTCTTTGGATCCTATAAAGAAATGTGAAAATAAAATTTTGGCAAGGAAAACTTAAAAGAGCATGTACAAAGGCATGCAGATGCTTACTTACTTTACATATGACTACTAACTTATGAATCATATACTATACAGTACATGCCTTTGTATATCTCATGTTGTGTATTTTTTTTTTTTTCAACAAGTCGGCCATCTCCCACCGAGGCAGGGTGACCCAAAAAAGAAAGAAAATCCCCTAAAAGAAAATACTTTCATCATCATTCAACACTTTCACCACACTCACACATTATCACTGTTTTTGCAGAGGTGCTCAGAATACAACAGTGGTGGTTAACGCTCTCGCTTCACACGGCGAGGGCCTGGGTTCGATTCCCAGCCAGAGTAGAAACATTGGACGTGTTTCTTTCCACCTGTTGTCTATGTTCCCCATCAGTAAAATGGGTACCTGGGTGTTAGTCGACTGGTGTGGGTCGCATCCTGGGACACTGACCTAAGGAGGCCTGGTCACAGACCGGGCCGCGGGGGCGTTGACCCCCGGAACTCTCTCCATGTAAACTCCATGTATAAGATACACAACATATCCCTCCAAACTGCCAATATCCCAAACCCCTCCTTTACAGTGCAGGCATTGTACTTCCCATTTCCAGGACTCAAGTCCGACTATATGAAAATAACCGGTTTCCCTGAATCCCTTCACTTAATATTACCCTGCTCACACTCCAACAGATCGTCAGGTCCCAAGTACCATTCGTCTCCATTCACTCCTAACACGCTCACGCACGCTTGCTGAAGTCCAAGCCCCTCACCCACAAAACCTCCTTTACCCCCTCTCTCTAACCCTTTCGAGGACGACCCCTACTCCGCCTTCCTTCCCCTATAGATTTATATGCTTTCCATGTCATTCTACTTTGATCCATTCTCTCTAAATGACCAAACCACCTCAACAACCCCTCTTCTGCCCTCTGACTAATGCTTTTATTAACTCCACACCTTTTCTTAACTTCCACACTCCGAATTTTCTGCATAATATTTACACCACACATTGCCCTTAGACAGGACATTTCCACTGCCTCCAACCGTCTTCTCGCTGCTGCATTTACCACCCAAGCTTCACATCCATATAAGAGTGTTGGTACTACTATACTTACATACATTCCCTTCTTTGCCTCCAGAGATAACGTTTTTAGATTCCACATATACCTCAATGCACCACTCACCTTTTTTCCCTCATCAATTCTATGATTAACCTCATCCTTCATAAACCCATCCGCCGACATGTCAACTCTCAAGTATCTAAAAACATTTACTTCTTCCATACTCCTCCTCCCCAATTTAATATCCAATTTTTCTTTATCTAAATCATTTGATACCCTCATCACCTTACTCTTTTCTATGTTCACTTTCAATTTTCTACCTTTACACACATTCCAAAACTGATCCACTAACCTTTGCAATTTTTCATTAGAATCTCCCATAAGCACAGTATCGTCAGCAAAAAGTAACTGTCAATTCCCATTTTGAATTTGATTCCCCATAATTTAATCCCACCCCTCTCCCGAACACCCTAGCATTTACTTCTTTTACAACCCCATCTATAAATATATTAAACCATCATGGAGACATTACACATCCCTGTCTAAGACCTACTTTTACCGGGAAGTAGTCTCCCTCTCTTCTACACACCCTAACCTGAGCCTCACTATCCTCATAAAAACTCTTAACAGCATTTAGTAACTTACCACCTATTCCATATACTTGCAGCATCTGCCACATTGCTCCTCTATCCACTCTATCATATGCCTTTTCTAAATCCATAAATGCAATAAAAACTTCCCTACCTTTATCTAAATACTGTTCACATATATGCTTCGATGTAAACACTTGATCTACACATCCCCTACCCACTCTGAAGCCTCCTTGCTCATCTGCAATCCTACATTCTGTCTTACCTCTAATTCTTTCAATTATAACCCTACCGTACACTTTTCCTGGTAAACTCAGTAAACTTATTCCTCTATAATTTTTACAATCTCTTTTGTCCCCTTTCCCTTTATATAAAGGGACTATACATGTAATACATGTTGTGTATTACATACATCAATTCATGAAAACAATGGCAGTTCACTAGAAATCAATATTATATAACAATGATAATACTTGACTAGGAACACCTTGATAAGGCACAGAACTCTCTTTCCAAAGATAAGTGTAACACATACATAACCACATCAGAAAATGGATTATATCACACCAGTGAAATTTATTATTAATCAGTAATACAGTGGAACCTTGGTACTCGAATAGCTCCATACTTGAACAATTAGGTATTCGAACGCTTTGTTTGGTAAACAAATAGCTTGGTAGTCGACTGTGTGCTTGGCACTCGACCAAACAAACATGACCTGCCAGAACTTCACTGAAAACTATTTTATGTTTCTTTGCCTTTTTAGGTGTTTCTTATATTATCTGTATAAATAAGTCACCATGGGGCCTAAGAGGGTTAGTGATAACAGCCAACCAAAAAGAAAATTGGTTGTGAAAAATTTGTTCTGTACTCGAACAGACTTCTGGAACCAATTAAGTTCACCAAATTGTTGGTGACCTCAACCAACACCTTATACAGAGGGACTCTGATGACCTTCTTGCAGTATTTGACATGAGAAACTTTGTTGATTTCCCTACTCACATCTCTGGCTCCTCCCTTGACCCAGTAGTGAGTGATCTGGCAGAAGGTATAGTCACTTGTCAACCCCTTGGCTACGTTGGATCGTCTGACCACAAGGCTGCTTTTACGACACTTAAGATCCCAACAGAATGAGGTGAGGAGTCCACACGCACAACCTGGCTATGGGAAAGAGGTAATTGGCCAGCCCTTTGCTCTGAGCTCGCCACCACTGATTGGAATGCTCTTCTCCAAGGGGATGTTGACTACCAAGTGAAAGCCTTCACTGGACACATCCTTTTAATCTACAACAAGAACACATTCCTCACTGGCAATATGTGACGAAGCCTACAGATCAGCCTTGGTTTTGCTTTCATTGTAGAGAGGCTGCTACTGCTAAGTACAAAGCATGGCGAAAGTATAAGAAACATCCTACCACCTATAACAGGAACTTGCACAGGCAAGCCTGTAGGCATATGGGTGACGTTCAAAAGTGGGCCATTGCTAAATGGCAGGTGGACACTAAAAGAAAGTTAGCATCAGGTAGGGTAGGCTCCAAAACCTGGTGGTCACTGGTCAAGGACAGACAAGGTTATCTGCCTGATGAAGTCATTCCACCTCTAAATCGACAGGATGGGACCACCTCTACTAGTAGTCAAGAGAAGGTGGACCTCTTTGCTGAACACTTTGCTACCAAAATGCAAGTTCCTGATCCAGCAAGGGACCCTCCTTGGCTAGCTGCAAGAACTGTGTCAAAACTGTCAGTGGTGACAATAAGGCAGGAGGAGGTGCACTTCCTTCTTAAATCGCTTGACCAAGAAAAGGCTGTGGGCCCAGACAACTTGAGCGCAAGATTGCTGAGATGTGCAGACCAGCTAGCAGCACCTCTAACTCACATCTTTCAGCACTGCCTAGTACAATGTAAATGTCCCTCTCTGTGGAAAGAGGCAAATGTAGTCTCTGTTCACAAAAAGAAAAGCAGAGCAGAAATCAGCAACTACAGACCAGTGTCACTCCTGTCAATCACTGGTAAGATCCTTGAGACAATAATCTCAAGACAAATGACAGAGTTTTTTGACTACCACTCACTACTTTGTGATCGTCAATACGGCTTCAGGAAAGGTTACTCTGCTGCTGATCTGTTGTTAAACCTCTCCACTAAGTGGCACCAGTCACTGGATGAATCCAAAGTCAGCTGTGTGGTAGCACTGGACATTGCTGGCGCTCTCGACCGGGTGTGGCACCAGGGCCTCTTAGCAAAACTTCAAGCACTGGGAATTGCAGGCTCTATGCTATGTCTTCTCAGTTATTACCTTCATGGTAGATCTCTAAGTGTAGTTCTCAATGGAACGGAATCAGCAAGACATCCTATTGGGGCAAGTGTTCCACAAGGAAGCGTGCTGGGACCATTGTTATGGAATGTCTACTTCAACTACCTTCTTCATCTCATCCCAGAATCCCATGCATATGCAGACGACTGTACACTGACATTCACTTATCCAAGAGAAGAAATGCCAGCTGCTCTAAGCTACATCAATCACCAGCTAAGAGCTATATCAGCTTGGGGAAATAGATGGCAAGTAACATTTGCACCTAAGAAAATGCAAATTATGATGGTCTCAAGGCACCATGATGGTAATGCTGGTGCAGTAGTAAGGATGAATGGGAGGGTGTTGGCACCTGGAGAAGAAGTTGATATCCTTGGGGTGAAATTTGACTCCAAACTAACCATGAAGAACCATGTTGTAAATCTTGCAAACAAGGCAGCCAGGAAGCTTACAGCACTTCGCCGTATCTTACATCTGCTTGACAGTAGGGGTTGCAAGATCCTGTACGAGGCACAAGTACGCTCGCACCTTGAGTATGCTCCACTTTCTTGGTTTGCCTGCCCCCCTCTCATCTGCGACTGCTTGACAGAGTAGAGAACAGAGCAAGACGTCTCATCTCTCGCCTGGACCCATCCTGGA